TCTCTCTCTCTCTCTCTCTCTCTCTCTCTCTCTCTCTCTCTCTCTCTCTCTGTGTACACATACATGTAATTTGTTGAGATATAAAAACCTATGTCATCAGGTGATGTGTTGAAGAGGCGGAACAATACGGATGCCTTACTGCAACAAGGACGACAACAACGAAAGCAGCAACAACATCAGCAACAACATCAGCAACAACAACAACGACGACGGCCGCACAAACCATTGGTCAAGCCGGATGAACCCACAAGCCCTACGACAACGACCGCTCCAGTCGTCTCCCTTCCCACCGGTGCGACCCCCGCGGTCACTTCTGACGGGCCCTCGGACTCAAAGGTGGGTGGTTGGCGGGTGCTCTGCTGTGGTTTGCTCCTTCTTCTTCCCTATCAAACATCTATCGTCCTGATCTCTCCTCCTTCTTTTTTGTGTTTGTTACTCTCTTGTAACACCTCTAATCTTCCGCACTTATATGACCTTATTGTGTTGCAAGTGCTGTAAAACTCTTACTTTGATAGTCGAAGCAGACTTTGTGCTGTTGAAGCTAGAGAGGTGAGCAGAATAAGTCTGATTCCCTGTAAGGACTTCTCTGTTGACATCCACCCCGTGGCGCTCATATGACCTTATGCAGTTGCGAGCGCCGTAAAACCTCTACTAAAAAATAAACAAAAAACAAAAAAAACCTCTAAGACTAAAAACATCTACTTTTTCAATTTGTAAAGATTGTGAACGTCACTAAAATTGCCCTAATTGTATCGATGGAGCTGTAAAAACATCCACTGTTTCAATCTGTGTGCGGCAGAAGTTAGCGGACCGGAGTGTCGGCGGGGACAGCGAGCAGCGACCTTCACGCTCCAGCGGCGTGGGCAACGTCCAATCGTGGCCGGCCGAATTCGCTGACGACGGAAAGAATGGACTGGGCGGGGCTGTGGAGGACTTTGACGCTGGTGAGTTGTGGACGGGCTTGTTTTACCTCCTTTTCAACTCAGGTTAGGTTGTTCTCTTTCTTTTGTATTTTTCTTGGGGGGAGAGGATTTTTGTTGTTGTTGTTGTTTTGTGGCAAGTGACTTTGACCCAGAAACTTCAGGCCTGCTTGAGATGTGTCATGCTGAGAGAGAGGGGGGGGTGGAGATAGAGAGAG